ATATAACAGATTATTGGAACACTTCATCTAAAACTAATGATGTAATGTATGGGGATTAACATAATAAAAAAACAAAAAATATATAACAGATTATTGACATGCTTTAAAGTTAATTAGCAGCAATATATATTTTCTTTGAAGAATTTCCCCAATATAAATATCTATAGCCATTTAAACCTAATAAACACATGCTACCACACAAGCACATGTTAATTGTCAAAAAGAGTAATTTTTAATTTAGATAAACTATATTGTCAAGTGACACATTTATTTGGTACTTGAAATTATGTATACACCTCAGCTAATGCTGCCTTACCATCATAATAGTATATGTACTGGAGTAATAGGCACATTTAAATGCAACTGCTTTCCTCTGGTACTACTACAAATCCATCAAGCTTAGAATCCCAATTGTAAATCAATAGCACATGTAAATGATCTGATTCTTCCTTCCACTAAGACATTTTACAAGTACTCTCTTTGCCACATTTTAATCCTTTGTAAAGTGTCATTTAAAAAACTTTTGCTCCTTTCACCTTGGAGACATATGGATGAGGTGGCTACATTTGGAAACTAAGCCCTTTAAATTAAATTGAAAGTGATGTTCTTGCCTATAAACTGAGATGGAATTCAGAGTAGAAAGATAAAGAAGCTTTCCTAAAGAGAATTGTAGAAAATAAATATATTTTAAGCATGAAATGATTTTAGATCTCTCACTATATACACACACATGCTAGTAACAGAGACCTGACTGCACGCTATACACGCATCCACTTGCATTTTATCAAAAGTCCTCTCTACCTCTGTAAACCTCATATCATTCTTATATTTCTTATATATTCTTATATTTCTACCAGCCTGCAAGTTGAACACAGTTTATTCAACCTCTTGTACTTAATTAGCTCTTTCCCTTTACTGTACATATTAGATATTACTCTTTTGATCACATACACTATGAACAAAAATATTAACTTATACAAGGAATGGCATTTATTGGTAGCCTAGCTGGGAAGGATACCTGGCAGTTTTCAGAATTTAAGAAAGAACCATAGTAACTACCAGGACAAGTTCTTTTACAAATACTTTCCTACTGCATTCAGATCTCCTTGTGAAGGGAACATGGTGTTGGCTGTACCAACTGAAAAACTCTAGCAAAAAGAGAAAGCTTTTTCTCTTATCATCAATTCCAAGGAAAAGCTCTGAATGCCAATATTCCAGTCCTATGCAGACATGGATGGAGTTTTCTATCTGTCTTAGCTTGAGGCTTCCAAAATAAGAATATGAGGTAATAATATGCACAAGTAGCTTATTTGAGAGGTGGTCCTGGAAATTATTGCAAAGGAGTAGAGAAATAAAATAGGGGAGAGAGGGGCTTAATGAGCAGGTAATTACTGTGGGCAATGAAAGTTCCAAGGCTGCTGGAGATCCTCTTAGAAATCATGTGGAACATAACTCAGAGTTGTCACTACATAAGAAAGGTGGGGTATGCATCCACAAAGTAAGAGAGAGTTCTTACTATGTTGTACTTTAATGGTTAGTTAACTTATGTGTCGATCCTTGAACTTTAAATGCCTTGAGGGTGTGTCTTTGCCATGTTTAATTTCCTCAGAACCTGTCTCAAGACTTGACACATGGTAGGAAATCAATAATGCTTGTTGAATCAGTTAATAGAGAATACAATTTTTAGATTTCTAGAACACTACCAACATGTAGTTACAAGACTGGCATGTGTTATATACAGAACATAGTGCAGAGAGGCAAAAAAAAAAAAAAATTGTGTAGTATAAAATAAATGTTGAGGTGTGTAAATTGATTGCATACTAAATCACCTAAAACTAACACTATAAGGTACCCAGAGTAAACCCCATTTGTTTCTAGGAATCTGATGAAATTATATTTGTCTTTCTATGGCTATTTTTATACTTATTAAAGCACTGATTTTTTAACCACAGGAATTGTTTAAACAAATAGGATTTTATATAAAACAAACCTGTATTGAATCATTACTATTAAATGCTTTTCTGTCTGTTTTCTGCTAGAAAATGTTCAATGTTCATAGGGACCAAATTAACTCACCTCCATTCTAAACAGAAGATAGAAGCACTGTCCTGGAAAACATGATCACCATAGTTCTGGTGTTTTACTACACCTGTAATGTTTAAGTAGCTCACATTGTACCTAAATGGATTAGACTGTTTTGACTATAAGTTTCAATCACACTAAGCAAAGTAGGTTACTTGGTGAGCATTCAGTTTGGCATAAATCAAAGTATCAGTTATTCTAGTTGCTGTTTCTTCAGAGTGAATTTTAATGCCGTTTATAATTTAGTTGTCTAGTACATAGTCACATTACTACCCTGGCTTTGGGATTTTATTTATATTCATATTTAAATTGTGACAGACCCTGTAGACTGACTAAAAACCATGAACAGAATTTCCAAAATGCACATGCTGAATTCCTAGACCTTAAGCCTTAAATCTCTTTTCTTGTGATGCCCTATATTCTAGTCACTTGGCAAACACCAACAGCTTGCAAAGGATTCCAGTGGAGCTTCCAAATCCTGTATCGTATAAAAGGTTAAGTCTTGGAATTCTTTGTGGTTTTAAATTTCACTACTTTTAAAATGGAATTTTATCAGAATATTTTCTTTAAAAAATAATATAATTGCTTTGGCGTAGATCCTATTTCAAACAACAGGTATTAAAGTAACTCAGGGCATAGTGTCTAAAATATTCCACAGTCAACCTCTTTTTCATATTGAGGTAGCTTCTTAAAGCAACGTCACAGGCTTTAGTTTCTGATCTGCTACAGAGGTTGAACAGCTAAAGGCAACAGTAAGTAAACATTTTTTACAGTAGTTAGATCTCGTTTACAGAAACTTACTCCTACAATTTCTTAGGTTTAGAAACATTTTTCAATTTCAAGTATGTATTTGAAGCAAAACAGCTTAGAAACAATGTACTCTTCAAATATCTCTTTGTGCTGACTCATAATTAACAATGAATCATGGAACACTACATCAAAAACTAATGATGTAATGTATGGTGATTAACATAACATAATAATAATAATAAAAAAAAGGGATAAACACATGATTCATTGTGGCCACCCGCTACTCTAACCAAAGCAGTAATTTGAAGTGGTCATATTAAGGTCTGAAAGACTTAAGTAGAATGATGAAGTTCCAAGAAAACAAACACAATTTTACTAATACACAATGGTGAAATCTAAACTGCCCTCAGGATATTTTTGTGATGCTCGTGAAGCTGGAAAATCTTATTACTAGTTTGATAGTTGGTGATAAGGTTTTATGATATCTCTGAACTTCTTTTTTCCTTCATCCCACAACAGGGAAGGAATCTTACTAGATTATATAAATTCATCAAAGGAATTTATTAATTGCACATAAATTATCAAAAATTTTATGTGAAAAAAAAATCCCCACCTTGTAGAAAACTATCTTTGGTGAAAATAGAGGTTTTATTTTAATTGAAGAAATATGCTGCTGCCTCTTATTAAGCATTACTTATATTCTGAGAATGTATTAGTTGGCTAAGTAAAGCATCATGGAGTAATCCTGCTGAATAAAATAGCTCCTCCCTTGCTACTGAATAATATTTCAAAAAGTTTCACTCTCAATCTTTGTTAAAAGGAAATTATCCACTTAAATTATGTACTTTGTAATTACTGAGGTTTGCAGGATATCAAATGTCCACCTCACATTTTTTCCTAGCTTGCTTTTCCTGACTCATTCCTGCAAACATGTATCCATATGCCTTGTATGCCCACACAATTTGCTTTAAAAAAGCCCATGTCATTTTTGCAAAAACAATTACTAATGACTCTCCAGTTTGTAGTTCCAATTCCTCAGAAGGTCCAGAAGTTTTTGTCATGTATGTACATTCAAGGACTTGCCTCTATAGCCTTATAATAGATTTTCCTATACATCGGGAAGTTCTAGGGGGTTTATAAAAACAAACAGAAACAGCTTTGACTATGATACCAATTAATTGGTATAGTCTAAGCTGACCTTTTGGGATGGAAGAGTAAATAAGTATTGTCCTTTTCTTTAGTAAACTTCTTTTCTAGTAGAATCAATAACAAGGAAAGAGACACCAAGCCATAAGTTGGTATGAGAAAATATCAGTTGTAAACTTTTATACACAATGTGATTTTTATATTGGGCTTATGACACATTCCTGTTATACTGAAAACCTACAGTGTGCTAGTTTTATGGCAGAAGCATTCCTGCTGAAGATGGTAATAGCTCTTGAGTAGCAAGTAGTGCATGAGCAGTAAACATTTATATAGATCACCTGTGCATTAATCAGACCTCTTTCAGCTACATCTGAAGAGATCCTAATCAAACATCTTTCAAAATAGTATAAGTTATTATTGGTTGATATGACCCAGAAAGCCAGAAGTAACTTGCTTCAGGAACAAATGGATTCAGGAGTGCCAACAATGCCCTTTAATCTGCCTATTCTCTATCCCTTTCAAAGACTCTATTTTCTAGTACAAAGTAGCCACCAGAGTTACATGATTCTGGCTTAGCAATCAAAGTGGAAATAAGTGGTGTTTATAGATAGCTCCATGAAAAAAGTTACAGTGAAGCATTTGATTACCCTAGATTCTATTTATGCTCATTTCTAACTAACTGCTATTGTTAGGAATACTACATAGACAAGATTATTCAGGAAAAAGAAGCTATTAATAAACAATGAGAGATTTCTTTAAAACAAACAAACAAAGCCAAAAACTAGAGTTTTGCCTTTTCTTCCTCCCCCATTGCCCACCCCCCCACCCCGCCACTAGTTAGGTTAACTTTTTAGATTATTTCTCCAGTCTGTTTATATATCTATATTTGGAGTCAAATACTCCCTAATTCTCCAATGTATATGTTTTCTCTCACTCATTTTTAAGGAGCCATAATCCGTAAAAACAAAATACACCAAACAAAAAAGTGAAAAAAGAACATTAAAACAAATATAAGCTCTTACCTTCTCTACACACACAATAATGAGTTCCATCTACCAAAGTCAAGCATGTTGAGTTGTTTCTGCAAGGGTCACCAAGTGGATCACAGGGGTTATAATGTTGATGGCAAAATTTTCCAGTATAAAAGGGTGGACACAGGCAAATTGCCCAGGAATGGTAGACTCATGACAAAGAGCTCCATTCATGCATGGGTCAGAGTCATATTCATTTATTTCTTCACTACAGTTTTGTCCAGTCCATCCAGATGTACACTCCCAGCTGAAATAAAATTTTAAGAAGTATGAACAGTACTGCTTCAAATTTATTCTTTGCATTTTTAATGAATTATTACATTAAACTAATGTGGCATTTTTATGTATAACAAGATTAATAAATTATACATAATTTAAAAATATTGTTTGCCTAATTTCCTGAGACAATTCAATGTATATTACTGCAAGACTGACTGCAATGGCTAAAATAAGATTTCAGAAGCATTTGGTAAATTTCTAACATAGTAGGCCACTGAGACAGATCAGAGAACAACAGTGCTACCAATTTCAATTTTAGCAACTATTGAGCTTAATTACCAATTGAGAAAATTTCCTCAATTATTTCTTTTATGTAAAATAATTTTCACTGTTTATAAGCCTGAGATAATATTTAATTCAATATCTTTAGCAACATGTGATTCTTATAATCACCAGAGTATTTATAACAAGGTGTTCCTTTGTGCTAAGCATCTGGATTTCCTTTCAGTTTTTGCCTGCTTTTAAAAACCTCTTTTCTCTAATATTTGAATAAAATGGGAAAATTGAAGAGAAATCAAATAAATAAAATGTAAAGCATTTGGGGGCGCCTGGGTGGCTCAGATGGTTAGGCGTCTGCCTTCGGCTCGGGTCGTGATCCTGGTGTCCTGGGATTGGGCCCCGCATCGGGTTCCCTGCTTGGCGGAGAGCCTGCTTCTCCCTCTCCCTCTGCTGTTTCCCCTGCTTGTGCTCTCTCGCTCTGTCAGGTAGGTAAATAAAATCTTTAAAAAAAAAAAAAGTAAAGCATTTGGATCTTGTCTGTACATCACAGACTCTAGCCCAGTCTGTCAACCATCTAGCATCTGTCATTCTCTCAGAAATTTTTTGAGTTCAAATAGCACTCTACTATCAGTTATTTACTAATCCTGTATATGATTTCATCTTGCCCTAAAATTTGCTTGTCATACCCTTTAAAAATTTTTATAAATAAATATTATATTATAAACATTTCCATGACTAGCCTTCATTAATTAAACTTCTGGCTCCTCAGTGTGAATCTGAATCTCCATATTTTCATGTACATAATATATGCTGAAAATATTATAAATATTAATTGATATATGGTCTTTAGTTGGAATCATATAGACTTACCTGAATTCTTTCATTTGGGAAATTGAAGATCAGAGAGCTTAATGAAATTGGTAATCTCAGAGAATTATTGTAAAGATTAAATGATATAATGAATAAAAAGTGTATACAGTGCCTGACATCAACAATGCCTACCCATCTATGGTGGTAACTAGGTGCTGTCACAGAATTTTAAAAAGCATTTGTTACCCTATTAATGCTTAAATAAAATATGCATCTCAACAATGAGGATTGCTTCAATTTCTAGTGGTACTTTTCATTTATTTGTCAATCACATCTTATTTTATTTTATTTTATTTTATTTATTTATTTTAAAGATTTTATTTATTTATTTGAGAGAGAGAATGAGAGAGAGAGAGAGAGCATGAGAAGGGGGAGGGTCAGAGGGAGAAGCAGACCCCCCGCTGAGCAGGGAGCCCGATGCGGGACTCCATCCTGGGACTCCAGGATCATGACCTGAGCCGAAGGCAGTCGCTTAACCAACTGAGCCACCCAGGCGCCCATCACATCTTATTTTAAAATGGTCAAATGTATTATTCAATTTGATAACTTCAATAGTGCTTTGAAATAAGTAGAAGAGGCACTTTTTTAATTCTCACTTTATAGATGAGATAGCCAGAAGTGCAAAGGAGAAAAAGGACTTATCCAAAGTCACTGGTTGGCAAACTTGAGATCTGAAGCCTAGACCTTTTCCTCCAAGCTTCTCTCTTTTCTTTCTTTTCTTTTTTTTCTTTATTGAATGTTTCAAAACTATTATAAGACTATCTGATATCTTGTGAAATAATGTAAAATTAAGTACATCAAATCCCAGCAAAATAGTTTCAGTGCATTTATTTTATTTAAAGTAGCTTTACTTCTAAGTGGTGTTGCATAAATATTTGTTTTCCTTTTTCTTATATTCTTTCATGAGTTGACTACTTTAAAAGAGTTCCCTGTGAGTAACCAATAATGCTTGAATATTTAACATATATGCTGTTTGTTTTATCTTCTCAAAAAACAGGTGGCCCAAGATTTCATGTGGTGTCCTTACAGGGATCAAATCCTCAGGAAAGCATCTGGCCATATGTCAATAGTACCGATGATGCCACGGTGAGGCCTCTGGAGATGAATGGATATTTGTAGAAAATGAAGTTCTAAAGAGCAAAATCTCTCCTTATAACTAACAATCAGACCTATGCATTTATATATTTGAATCTGCTTTTATACATGTCAGAGAAACAAGTCTCTGATGGATGGAAATACATGTTTTATGTGCGAGCTCCAATCTGGTTTTTAGTTTGTATCATGAAATAATTTCAGGATTCAGTATGAACTGGCAGCATTTTCCAAACTCACAGCCAGAAGCAAGATTTTTATGGATTGAAAAACCAAACAAGCAAAAACACGTACTCTGTGACTTTTTGAATATATGAGTTCCAGTAGTAAACACTTGAAAACTAAATGTGTACTTAAAGGTAGACTAATATATTCTAATTTGCTGTCTTTCCTAGTGAGATAACCAAAAATTCACTGGCAAAAAATACACTGAATTCCTTCTAAGTAAGAGCAACATTTCAATTCTTTTTTTTTTAAAGATTTTATTTATTTATTTGAGAGAGAGAGAATGAGAGAGCACATGAGAGGGGGGAGGGTCACAGGGAGAAGCAGGCTCCCCGCTGAGCAGGGAGCCTGATGCGGGACTCGATCCCGGGACTCCAGGATCATGACCTGAGCCGAAGGCAGTCGCTTAACCAACTGAGCCACCCAGGGGCCCGAGCAACATTTCAATTCTTAAATGTTGACTTAAAGAACAAAGCTGATAAAAGAAAATAAAGTAGATGTCATTGTTATAAAATAGGAAAAAGGAGTATTCATAAAAAAAAATCATTAGCTTAAGAAATCTTAGTTTTCTAAATATTAACTATTCTATATGGTCATCTCACCATAAATATTGATATGCAATGACTAAATATTATTTGGCAATATTTATGTACATTTGTTTTGTATAAGTATACCAGCTCTTTTGGCTATAAACTTATAAATACAAATCTCACAGTATACATAACTGAAAAGACTCTCTTCTTATACAAATTAATTCACCTATTGTTTGTTGAAGCCATTATTTGTATGCAATATAAAATCCCAGTCAAAACTGGTAGGTAAAAAAGAAATAAGAACACAGATAATAAAATAGTATTATTATATTTTTTAATGTCTTAAAAAGTTGAGGACACATAAAAAAGAAGACATAAAAAATACAGGCTACTCAACTAAGTCATTCATTATTCTACTGTTTTAGCCATTCACCTATTTGTTCATTCATTCAGTTATCGCATCAGGTATACCATTAACAAAACTATATTAATAATGTATTAGGGGCACCTGGGGGGCTCAGTCGGTTAAGCGTTAAGCATCTGCCTTCTGCTCAGGTCATGATCCCAGGATTCTGGAATCAGCCCCATGTCAGGCTCCCTGCTCAGTGGGGAGTCTGCTTCTCCCTCTCCTTCTGTCCCCTCCCCCCCACTCCCACTAGTGCTCTCTCTTTCAAATAAATAAATAAAATCTTAAAAAAAAAAATAATTGTACGATGGTCATTACTATACTCTTGACCACTGAAATCCTTTTAGAAAAAAAATGTGGAAAACCATTTAGCTCACTTAGACTGGCAAAATTTATCTCAAGTAAGCTGCTAATTTTATTACTAACATTGAAAGTAGAAAAGGGGACCAAAGACCATTCTGAAGAGCATCATGAAAGTGTAAAGATGTAAAACATAGCAGAAGATTGATATGGGTGAAATGACACAATGGAGATGGCCTAAAAAGTTATAGCAAGGTAAGGCTGAAAACAACAGCAACAACAGTGAAACTACCTTCCTTTGCATTCTACCCTTAAAGACAGTAACATTTTCCTGTTGCCTTTAAGTATGGTAGTGACACAATCAGATTGCTATCGAGTAGAAGATGGATAAAACAGTGAGAGCCTGGTAGCATGAAGATCATTCAGGAAACTACTTTTTAATTGCTGACAAGAGATTATGAGGACCTAATAAGCAAAGGCATTAATTAGGTAGACCATATTTGAACTACATTTCTGATACAGATTGGAGAAGATCTGGACAATGATTAGTATAAGTTGATGAGGCAGAGTGAGTAATGGGGAGTTCTTGGTGGATTTTAGCTTGAGTATTAGAAAGACAATGGTGCCATTAGGTGAGATAGGAAATGACAATAATGAAGATGGAAGAAGAGGAGAGGGTATTGATGTTTATATATAGTCACTTAAATTAACTGCATGATTTAAGATGCTGTCCTATATGTGGTAAGAAATTCAAATACTGAACTCTGGAAAAATCAAGGCTTGTGATAAAAATTCAAGGACGAGTCTAACAACTATTATCAGCAATAAACTGGCATCAAATAAATTTAACATTGGCCTTTTTATACAAAAATATAAAGTTAATTTATTAAAAATATAGGATAGTCCCTCTATATTGTGTGATATATTCTTCAATATTTTATATTGAACCTATATTTTATAAAACATCTATATGGCAAAGAATAAGTAGGAAAAAAATCATACTAGTCAGAATGCCTATAAGACTTGATTGGTAAAAACAAGTCTTTATTTATTTATTTATTTATTTTAAGGGAGAAGAGATTGAGTATATGCTCTACATGAATTCAAGAATTCCTATTTTAATACTGATAGAAAAGGATCTTTCTCTTCAGTG